CGTTACCATGTTGACCGTCATGGTCAACTTGCCCTAAAACAGTTGAGATTATCTGTCCTAAATGAAATGCATACAAACTCATATACAGGTCCTAGACTATAAAGACAGAAAGTTTAAACAACTCTCTCGACTCTTTTACTTATTTGATAAACATCATCTTTTGCATTCTAGTGCTTAGTAAAACACACGCGTATACCTGTGTATATTTCACACTAAACTGTTCTCCCAGTTCATTAACACGTTTCTCAATATCCTCTTGCAGGTTTGCTTTGCACTCTCTGAAAAACAGAAAAAACTTGTTCAATAGAAACAGTACAATACAATAGTACCATAGGCCTTTGCACGGATGGCATGGAGAACAGTGGGATTTTTAAAACAATGATAAGATAATGGAACATTCTGATCACTGGATCATAACTGGATGGCATGGAGAACAGTGGGATTTTCAAAACAATGAAAAGACAATGGAACATTCTGATCACTGGATCATGACTGGATGGCATGGAGAACAGTGAGATTTTCAAAACAATGATAAGACAATGGAACATTCTGATCACTGGATCATAACTGGATGGCATGGAGAACAGTGGGATTTTCAAAACAATGAAAAGACAATGGAACATTCTGATCACTGGATTATGACTGGATGGCATGGAGAACAGTTGGATTTTCAAAACAATGAAAAGACAATGGAACATTCTGATCACTGGATCATGACTGGATGGCATGGAGAACAGTGGGATTTTTAAAACAATGAAAAGAGTTCAAAAGACAATGGAACATTCTGATCACTGAGTGGATGGCATGAAGAACAGTGGGATTTTCAAAACAATGAAAAGACAATGGAACATTCTGATCACTGGATCATGACTGGATGGCATGAAGAACAGTGGGATTTTCAAAACAATGAAAAGAGTTCAAAAGACAATGGAACATTCTGATCACTGGATCATGACTGGATGGCATGGAGAACAGTGGGATTTTCAAAACAATGAAAAGACAATGGAACATTGTAATATTTACTTGAAAATAGCTACAAGTCCTTCGCTTGGAACTGACTTGAGTCTTGCGAGTAAAGACTGAAGATGCCAGACTTCAAAATTTCGTCTTGATGTTACGTCAACTTCTAATTGGTTCATCTTAAGCGGTGTACCAATCTCAACCTCAGCATTTTCTGAGAGGAAAACTCGTTCATCAAAATCTCCAGATAACAAAACATATTCTTCGTAATCGCGAGAAACATTTTTTCTACAATGATGACCAAATCCATTAAATATCAGTGAATAAACTGTACTATCAATCAAACTAAACAAGCTTAATTTATTTATACTGGATAACTATATTAGTCCTAAACTGTTTTCCCTAGTGGTTCAGAAAGGGTCATCCCTTTCAGTGCTGACAGGGTAAAGTAAACTAAACTAACTTTTAATTTATTTTTACCAAATTTTTATGATATTAGTTCATAAAAACTTTTTTACCCATTGGCTTCAAAGTTGTTTAGCTCCAGCAAGCCAGTAAAGGATTTCTCTGCACCTTTTAAAATCTATAAATAGATATGCTTGTTGGTCACAAGTGTTAACTGTGAAAGATTTTTTATCAAGTATTGCATCTATTTTTCTCACGATAAATATCAAAACCATAATGAATGTCAATGTGTGCGCTTTAGAATATTTATTGTTTTAGCGCATTATAAATATTTTAAAATTAAATTGAATCTATTATAAATACCTTTCGATTAAACAGTTTCTCAACATATGGCTTCCAGTGATGTTCTCTGATCTGTTTAGCTTCAACTGGCAAACCTTTGCATAAAGACAAGATAATTTAGTTTAAAGTGGCTTTGCAAGCATATTGACATATTGTTTTACAAATTGAAGACTTTGGACGGCTTGTTAATACAACATTTCAAAAGGTAGTGTTAATTTGACAATAAGCTGCAGTTGTGTTTGTCTGAACTGAAAACAATTAAAAACATGTCTTAACCTTTCTTCAATAGTTCAAACAGTAAACTCACCATCAAAGTTATCACACAGATAACCAAGAATACACGAAACATTTGTGGCAGATTTCGACTCTTTCTGACTGGTATACTTCACAACAGCTAAATAATGGAAAATGAATTTTTAGTTAACAGACAATTATGTAATCTCTCAAAGTAAAACAAATTACAACTTATTGGTGGATTACAGGTCACAAGATGGCAGGAATGTCGACACTTTAGAAAGCAATAAAATGAAATGTAATCTTCATTACCATCAATAAACTCTGGGTTGACCATATCCTTGGTATGTTGCGTTACCATGGCATTGGCGTAAAAAAAATCCAAACAAGACAGAAGCAGATGATACGAGTTGACCAAGTCGTCACTGATCGCTGGGAAACTACCTGAAGAGGAGATTATTTTGTTCCAGATCTAATCAGGAGAATTTGCAAAAATGCAAGCCCTCTCACAAGAGAACAGGACGTGCACCTTTGCCCTTCTAGTCTAGTATATTTTCCCTAGTGAAAGCTATTGGCAGATTTTAGGCCAATGTAGTAAGAGTAATGGCACTTTCCAGGGAAAGCACACAATCCTGAGTAGATGTACAGCTGCATATTTCCAGAGTGAGAGGTACAGATGTTATTAGGGGGGGAGGGGGGGGGGCAAATGTTATCAGAATGGATGCATTGGAATCTGTAAGCAATATTCAGAATATGCATAAATGCAATCCTTCAAATTAGCGCCATTCTTAACACATTAAGTTGCATTGCACCCAAATATGCCCTGCAGTACTTTATAATTTTACTCTGTCTAATGCTGGACAATTTTACTCGTCCAGGGAGCTGAATGGATATGTTATTTGTCTTTTGTAAAAAGCTACTAACAACTTTTTTTTTCCACAACAATGCCTTCCCAAAGGAACAGCTCATTTTGCACTGGCTTTCCTCAAAGCTCCTGTTAATTAAGGCTCTCATATATGTTATTCACAAAACTTGTGCTGGCGGCCCACGGCTCACAGCGGTCCAAAGCCCTAAGACCTTGTTTGTCAAAAACAGTTTACTTAATTTTTATTAAAAGAAAGAACTTATTAATTTTTATTGCTTAATTGAACTCAGCAAGTATGTTCAAGGTCAAATATTTCCTTATTTAAACAGCTCTCAAGTCCACTATTTTAATCCTAATTAAATGTCAAAATCTGATTATAGATCAGCCAATCGCATTCGCATTCAAGAACAGCAGAGCATGGTCAGGCCAGGATTTGGATTAATGGTTTGCAATGTGCAATTTGCACAACATTCTGAACGAAATAGTGAAAAATGCACCTCACTTTCCTAACAATGTGCAAAAAAATCAGACAGTTGGGACTATTAATGAACCGACCATCCATATTTATAGATTTAAACAAAGCTAATCTGTTGTCTTAAAATTTATAAACAAGTTCTTTTGCATGCACACTAGCAGCGTGTTTGCAGACTGGAAGGTGTCAAATTATAGCCACCATGACAGACAAATTGATTAATGTTATGTGTTAGGTTTGTATATCAAAGATTGCAAACAATGTTTAAAAAGTATTTAAATAATTAAATCATTGCAGTTTGGTTGAGTAAATGTTGACTGAATAGCTAAGACAATCGTGAACTTATTTTATAAAAATTTAGAGCCACATTTTAAGAAGAAGTTGTACATAATTGTTTTTGTTT